AGCCAAGACCGTCTCTTTTTTTATGTGAAAACTAGTTTAGAGTTTAGTCTTCCAGAACCATACTATTAAAATATATAAATTAATACTAATTACAAAATAGTATTCAAGCATATAAGACTCAGTTTACACTATAGGAATTTTCTAAACAACAGCAGCTATTATATAATATGATACCACAAAACTCTTTTAAAAGGAAACTGCCACCACCTTTTTATGAACAATAATCACAAACTGAATACTAGTAGTCATGTTGTTACCAAATAGGCCCTTGATTTTCTACAAATGGTACTCCGTTTATCAGCATTAGGGTTACCGGGCCTTACGGAGTAGAACCTGAATGTGGCACCTGTTGCTACCTGTAAAAGTTTTTTTGCCCCTGGCCTACATTTGACCCGCCGTACCCCTTCAGTTCTTGTCGAGGAAGCATCGCTACAAAGTGCAGAAGGACATGTCAATACTGATACCTGGAGTAGGTTACCCTCCTATAAAATAAATCAAAACCGGATGCAGAGAACTCTTCTTCCCTCTTCCAATATCGCACCGCCATTTAACGTTGCCCTAACCCTGGAACCCCCCAAGACCACTCCCTAGTTGCCGCATCATACCGTATTGGCATCGTGCTGTGCCCGAGTACCGTACGAGCAAGGTATTATACACGCACCCGGCAGGGGCATGGTTTGTGCGTTGGGAATAAACAGGACTGCACCCGAAGAATGTCATGATGTCAAAGGGAAGCAAGGGAGAGAGAAAGCCGAGTTTCGGTAAGGTAACAATCCACCGGATTTAACCTCACCTTGCTTCCCGTCTTATGTTTTCCTCTCGAGCACTTGTACCGCGGGCGCTCCCTCGCGGTTTCGGGGATGAGCCACCGTAGCGGGCATGAGGTGCAGAGTGAATTGGCGGTAGGTGGCCTATTTAAAATTTATTACGAGTGAGTTCTTATGATGCTCCCGACTTTCCCCAGGTATGATACCGGTAAATTGATTACAGTAGTGTCCTACCGAAGTTTCTTCTGCTCCGTCACTTTTTTTGCAGGAGGTTTCCCGGCCATGCTCACAAGGAAGGTATCATATCACGTTGCGAGATCACGGTATTGGAGCTCGTTTGAACGGGAGACGATTGGGAACTGGACTATACCGGTACCGTACTATACAAGTGCTGGCGCTCTTGGAGATGGGGATATCAAGAAGAGTTCCGACACTCGGGTACCCCCCCCGTACGGTGCTCCAGCATATTATCGATGGCCCCAATCTTACCGAATGAATGTCTTATCAGGCTCCCGCAACGGATATGGTGCCCGTATCATTCAAGTACGATACTGCCTGCAGTACTACCGGTAGTATACTCGTGTCGGCAAAGTTCTCGTAGCACCTTGGGCACCCCATAAACGCCGGTCCAAGATAGCGATACGAGACCAGGTCTCCCGCGAGTGATCTTTTTTTAGCCTGGCATGATAACTACAAATCCCATAAAGGATTTTCCCGTTTTTTCCCCAGTAAGTAACTTCTCCAATCCCCCCGTGGAAGGCTGGGGAGACTTTGCGGCATACATCGGGCGTTACGAGAACTTTGCGGACGCGAGCGTGCAAGTGCTGTACCGGTACTCGAGTGCTCGAGTACCGTAATGGCTGCCTGCAGAATGCAGGCAAAAATACTTGTACGAGTACAGTACTTGTACGCTGAGGCACTCTTTTTTTTTTCAGTTTGACATTGCGCTAGTCCAAATTTGACTAAATTATCTACAAGTGTAATATGATATTATGGTTTTTTTCACTGTTTGAGGTACAGTATCGTACCAGTATCTTTAGTACCGGTATTGAGGAAGAGTTTTGTGAAGTTTCCAGTCTCCGGTGGGAGAGGCCCTTGTGGGCCCAGGATTACTCGCGAAAATGCCAACGACCTGGTTGATATTCAAGCTTTAACACCTGGCAGGTGGCAGGCTGGCATGTATCGTATCATACCCGACACACTCCCGCTTTGCAAAGTTCTTCGCGGAAAGAAGGGGGGCACTCGAGAACAAGTATCAGGGGGCAGTTCGGCGGGCTTGGCATGATACTTGAAGGGAAGCTTGGAAAATAGTAGACTGGAAATCGGGCTTTGGAGCCTGAAATTGAGTACTCGTACAGTACCGGTATGATATGACTTTATCATACGGTATCATACAGGCATACAAACTGCAGCTGACCCCTTGCGGGCCCGCCAAGAAAAGCCCTGCTGTCCATCACCCCTCCTCACCACATCCCTTTCTTCTGGCCGCTCATCATCACTGACCACAGCCATGGTCAGCGCCAACACTGGTTCAGACAGCAAATATTTGGCAATGCCTTGTACCGGTACTGGTGCTTCTGTTGCCGCCAAGATCTTGCCACGGTATGATACTTTGCTTTCCGCGGAGACTTTGGTAACGGGGGAGTATTGTACTGTACGAGTACGAGTTTGATACGGTATAATTACACTGATTTGTCGCGACCATGGTGGGGGGAGTCGAGTGCTCACAAATCTTAAAGTTAACCGAAGGCCTTGGCGCCAAGGGTCTGCGCTCTCCGTGACACGGTAATACCTGTACCGGTATGTGCCTTGGCGTCATGGTGCTGGGGTGCTCACGAAGTTCGCGGGCATGTTACTTGTACTGTAACTCCAACCCTGCCGCGGCTACGATGACCCAACGTTGAGATCTTTGCGATAGCATCCATCGCAGGGTAGAGCTGGGCTCTACCGGTAACACAAGGGGGCGAATATTGATTGGTAGCTGTAGCAGGGAGGGAGAACCCATGGGAAATAAGTACCGGTACTTTGGGCATTATTGGCACTAGTACTGTGCTCGAGTAATGAGGGCTTCTCCTACAATTACTTGTAGCAAAGAAGCTGAGGACTAGCCATGGACACGGGTTTGCTGGGGCAACGATACGCGATGAGCAAAAGCAGGCAGGAGAGACTCCGCGAAAAGACTCCGAACGAGAGGCGAATGCCGCTCTGGACCAACCAGATGACTAGGATTTGACTCTTTTGGATGCGGGATGGCAGAGGTCCCTCTTTGGACCAAGCATCCCTGATAGGACTAGATCCTCATGGGCGGTTACTCTTACAAGTACAGAGTTTTGCGGCCTAATTTGCCAAGGTCTCGCATGGACGAAAGAAGGGGATCGCCGAGATCCACATTGCTACAAGTGGCTAGATTCAGGGGTACGGTGCAGGGTTGCGGCACCGCCAGGGAGGAGTTGAATCCTCGACTTTCTTGATGGGGGAGAGAGGGATGGAATTCTATTCCTCCCTCGCTCGCCCTTGGAGGAGGGGTGAGGAGTGGTCTTACCTGTATTAATACCGGTATTGTACGGTACCGGTACCAGCAATCATCGGGGAACCTTTCGTGGCTGCGGTGGGAAATAGCACGGGGAAAAGGGCTTCCTCATTCGCCAATGCGAGAGGGAAACTGCACTCAGGACGGGAGGAGGGAGATCATATTATCAGAATATGATGATTACCGTATGATGGACGATTGGGAGGGCGAGCCAACGGTTGGTTGGGCTTGGGGAATACCCTTGCAGCAATTTGCAGCGCTTGAGATCGGTTAACTCGAAGGTATCATAATCATATAATAAATTATCACACCTATGGTACTTGTACCGGTACTTGTACCACCGGTAGGATGAGGATAATACGAGTACTATACTCGGGTACTCGGACATAGAGTGTCCCACCACCAGGAGTAATTGGCGCCAACCAGCCACCTTCAGAGATCACTCGATAAGCTATCCCTTTCCCTCTCCACCATCATCTCTCACATGGGAAGAACGCGCTGAACCTCGCTCATGTTGGCGCTTGGAGGAGCTTCATACCCTCCCCCGGTCCACCTTATCTTTATTTTTATTTTGCCCGGCTGACTGGCAGGGCCCCGGCGAGCGGCCAGCCGGTGGGAGCCGGGCGTTTGTTGGTTGCCCGCTTTTTCCGTAAGGCTACAGTATTTGCCGGTATTGGCGAGGTAAATGTTCGCCCATCTATTTTCCGTGCGAGCAGCTCGTACCGCTTCATCGCTTTGACTCCCCGCCAGATATCCTGCTGCACCTCGTCTCGCTACAGTACGGTACAGTAGTCTGCTTCCCACCACGCCACTCCATATTGCCGTGGCTCATCTCCATCCTCATCTCCATCCTCTCCTTCCCTTCTCCCCTTGTCGGGAACCTGGGTTGCTTTCATAATAACTCTCCCGCAGGGCTTGGAGCCGCTTGGAAGGGTCCGTAACCAAGCCATATCACACTGTACTCGTACTGCACCGTACTCGAGTCCCGCTGCTGGTCACTTTGCATGGTGGGAGGGGACTTTGCTTCTTCTTGCTCCCCGCAAAAGTCACACTCTTTCGCTCGTAATTCATTTATTAGCGGTATTGGCCATATCCTGTCTTTGGGACCCTTCTTGGTCCTTTCAGATATCATATCTTGCCTCGCACGTACCATTCTTATTGGACCCTCTTACTTTCTTCCGCTTTCTTCGCAGGCTCGAGGTCACGGGTGCACTCGTACTGCGGCCAGTTATTGGGGAGGAAATAGAGGTTACCGGAGGGGAAGCTGCCCGGGTTGTCGCTCGAGAAGCGGGATTCGGATTGCTGTAAAATCAAAAGGAAAAATTAGGGCAAAGAGGGACCGCAGGATATACCCCCCCTGTACTAGTGACCTTCCCCCGACAAGTCTTAGCATCCACCCACCCAACATTCGGCTACCTCCAACCTCTCAACACCCCCCCCCCCACCCTCCCTAAATCGCCTAGGACCCTCTGCTGGTCGGACTCCCGTTTGATTTGATTGATCGATTAGTGTTGATAGGCTTCGTCTTGCCCCGAACAGAGGATAGCCCAACAATTTCTGCATCACATCCTGTCTTTGCGAGCATAGACCCCCCCCCCTTTCCCTTGTCCTTTGCCCCCGGTGGATGCTTCCTAGTTGAAATTCTCCCTGAAGGAGACACGACCCAGGAGAGAAGGAGTGTGAAAAGCGAGAAAAAGAAAAAGGCCCTTTCGATTGATCGAGACAACTACAATTGTACAGTAACATGAATTCCTACGGCCTACCGGTATCGTCCGAGCAGGATCGCCAGCTTCCACCCTCCACGCACCCTCCTCCCTCATCTCTGCGACTTCATAGTCGTCTGGCTTCTCCACCCTACTCGCCCCAGTCACCGGTTCGCCGAAAACCCGTGCCTCGCGGTCCCTCCTCTGTCGTTTCCCCCGTCGGCACACAGACTCCCGATCAGTCACCGCGACAACCGTACTCTGACAGCGAGTACTCCCCGCCGCCAGATACAGCTCGCTCAGTGCAGCTTGGCATAGCCTCTCCTGCCCCCTTCAATCTTCCAACCTCGGACGTGGGAGAATTTGTCGTTCGGGATTTGGACAGGTACGGGACAAAACTACTGTACATTCTATGGCATGTTCCGGAGACCACTCCCTCTAACATACATCTTCCTCTCCAGATACCCACACGGGGACTCCCCCAGTCTTGCACAACGCTCGTGGATTTCTTCTCCTCGTGGTGAATTTGATATTCGGATACAGCAGCCCTCACCTCGCCCCTCTCCTCCATCTCCCTTGGTGCCCAATTCTAGCCATGCGAGAGCCTGGAGCGAGTCTTCACTGAACAGATCGAATACTCCAGAGCAAGCTTTTGCACCCAACCGGCGAGCCAGCTCCGCAATGGCGAGCTCGCCTCATGCAGCACCGAACTTGAACCTCCCAGAGGGATCATACCGGACACACTCCCCTTCAGCTTCGGACGTGACGGACGAGACAAGCAAGCCGAGGTCACCCAACGGCAGATTCACTTCCTTTTTCCGATGGGGCAGTACTTCGGAACATGGAGGGTCATCTTCCACTTCAGTTTCTGATCGGGGGCCTTCCCCGGCGCCTTCTCCAAAGACACTCGTTGCACCTTCTACATCACCGTCGAACCGGTCAATACCACCTGCGATTGATGTGCCGCTTGCGAATGCTAGGGTATCCGCCGGCTTACACTCAGATTCAGGGGTCTCCCTGGCACCTCCAACCCCCTCATCCTACGAGGCCATTGAGGAAGAGGTACGTTTGGTTTCTGCGGATTTGGCGGCGTCGATCCGTAGGGAGATGGACTTGGAAGATCTTGTTGAGAGGTTGCAGGCGGAGGCCGCGGAAAGGAATGGAGAGGGAAAGCGGACGAGCGATTATTTCTCCGATGCCGGAAGTTCGACAAGATACCTGGACGTGGAGACGAAGGTTGAGGTAGATGTTGAGAAGTTGACGAGAAAGGCGGAACAAGAAAAGTCTCAGGTCCGGGTAGAGCTTCTGGGGAAGATACAGGAAGAGAGACAACAGCGAAAAGCCATGGAATCACGTGTTAGAGACCTCGAGGAGCAAGTTGCTAGGGTAAGAAATACATTATATTCCATTAGACGTAAATTTTTTTTTTTCCTGACTGGGAGTTTAGCGCCAGACTACGCAGTTTCTAGCTGCAGACACTTCAGGACGGGTAAAGGAGTTGGAAGTTACTCTGGACGAAGCGAAGCGCCGGCTTGCAGAGGAGCGGCAGATGAAAGAAAACTATGAGGATCTTTTAACGGCCCTGAGGGGTGAGTTGGAGGAGCACCGGAATGAACGTGACAATCTTAGAGATGAAATTGTGCCTCAGCTCCGGGCCCGGGTGGAGGGATTGGAGTCGGAGGCATCAGAATTGCAAAAGCTCATGTATGAGCATTCTCGGACGCAACAAGAGTTGCTCAATCTCAAAAATGAGAATGCGTCATTAGCTTCGACGGTCCGCAATCAGGCTCGACAATCCCACCGGTTTTCCGTTCCTGCCTCGGGATTTGCGACACCAGCCTCAGCCGGCCCGGGTCTCCCCATGATATTGAACATGAAAGATAAGGAGACATTGGTGGAAAAGGTGAAGGATATTGAGGAACAGCGGGATGCTTTGCATGCAGCTTTGAAGAGCTTACGCGAGAGACAAAAGTATGAGAGTCGGATGGCTAGGGAGAGAATCAGAGTGTTGGAAGCGGAGCGTGACAAGGCGCTCCAGCAGACAAATAGGCGATACGGAAAGGACCGAGAAATGAGGTCTCTTCGGAAGGAAATGGAGCGGTTGCGCCAACGAGCGGATGACGCATTGGAGCAAAAGTTCACGTGTGAACGTGGTCTTGGGACGTTAAAAATGGACTTGGAAAAGGCGGAACAAGAAACAAGTTCATTACGGGCTCTTCTCCAAGAACATGATGCGTTGGTTAGCAAGCATACCGAGCTTCAGGATTCCCATACACGCCTTTCCAAACAAGTGTCCCAGTTGAAGCAAGAAATTAATGGGGAGGGTGTCGTATCATTGTCTCTGCAACAGGCCTACCGTGATCTTCAGGATATCCATGCAAGAACCTTGGCGAGATTAGGTGAAGTCGAGGCAGACGGAACCGACCTTTCCTCCGATCTATCCGACCGCGAGCAGAGCCTTTCACAGGCCCACGAGGAGTCACGACGCGCTATCGAGAAGCTGCAGCAGAGCGTTGCGCAGGCGGAAGCCGAGAGAGATACTGCGCAGGTAGAAGCCGGGGCCTACCGTAAGCGGTCGGAGTCCCTCGCAGAGTCGGAGAAGAAACACATGGCGGAGGAGAGAAATCTCGGCCTGCAATTGAGGCTCTCCACAGAGCGCATTGCAGAATTAGTTGTGCAAGTGCAGGCTCAGCTTGAGTCAAACAATGCTCTGAGAGATCGTTTAGCGGATGCCATTGGCCGCGGAGAGGAGGAGCAGAAGTTGTCGGCGAAGAGAATCAACGAGCTCCAAGGGAGGTTAAAGGAGTTGGAGGATAAGGTTCTCGAGGCGCAGCAGGAGACAGAAGATGCTGTCGCTAGACATGAGCAAGAGATCAAGCAACTGAAGGAGACACATACTTCGCAACTGCGAAGATTGAAATCGTCAACTCTGCGATCGCCGTCCCAATTCGCGCCCGGGTCCCCATTATTGTCTCCCCACCTCAGGTCGCCCAAATTGGAGTGGACAGGAAGCCAAAGGTCAAACAGCTCAATTCCTGATGAGGCCAAGGTCGAATTCCTGGAGAAGCGTGTTCAGGAGCTCGAGGAGGCTCTAGTACAGGCGGACAATGAAATGGCCGAAGTTGTCGGCAAGATGAACATGGCGCAGATTGAAGTCTTGGAGCTCCAATCCGAGAGGTAACCCCCCAATATCTTTAGCCAATATAATACAGGATTGAAGTGCTAATGGCAGTAATAATAACAGAGACGATGCCATGCGCCAAACAAGACGACTACAAGGCGACATTGCTGCCGAAAGAGTGAAATACCTTGAGTCAATGCCATAATTTCAGCACACTCCCGCTTTTTCCCCCCCCCCAGGGTTAACGCACGCTACGCCCATCAGGTTTATGAGGCCCCGACCTCGCTCTATCATAGACTTCTTTCTTCCTCCTCTGGCTTCAAAAGGCGCAATTTTCAATTTCGACTTCAGCTCCGAGCATCCACCATTCCACCAGTTCCCCCTCCTCCGCCTTGTTCAATTCCATTCTTTCATTTGATTTTTTTCTTGATTTTTTTTTCCTTTTCGTTCTCGGGGTTTGATCTCGTATTAGCAAGCACAGCATAGCGCGGTTTGGGTGTTTCATTCATTCTCTAAAACCATAAAGGTAGTTTGGGTTATTGGTGCTCTGGATTTTTTCCTCTACTTCCTTTTCATTATTCCGTTCACGGTCATTCGTTGACCAAAGCACCTGGCAAGGTTTGTTGCTATACTGTGCGCGCGCGTGCGCATTGCTCTCTTTAATATTATCACTTTAATTTCTATTACACAAGGTCTCTTGACAATACTAGTGTATGCAAAATGCGCCTTACGATACCTGAGCGCTGGTGGGCTGGCCCATTTGCTCATTCAATGATATATACATTTATACACATAGTTTTCATTTTTTTTTTTCTTCGGGGTTTTCTTTCTTCTGTTTTCGGCTTGAGCTGTGCTTGTTGCGGGAGGTTCGAGATGGTTTTTTTCTTTTTCTTTTTGTATTTTACATTTTTTCTATATTATACCTTTCATCGGGTGCATTACGATACTCGTATCACACCCGCATCATGCTTACAAGTATGCGTGATACTGTAAGTAGGGTTCGAATTAATTCTCTTTCTCTCCACCGCGAGGCGATTCTAGCAGTGAGGGCCGATGCGAGATTCGTTTCAATCATTGCCCAGAGTTCCCATCCACCGCGGTACAGTACCGTAACATTATGGGCTCGTAGAGGACCACGGGTGCACCATACAAGCATCATAACCGTGCTATATATATTACATATACAAGCAGCGTAGCGCAGGTTCAAGTCCCGAATAGTCGAGCAGCGTGGTGGAAGACTATTATGATACATACAGTATGATACGAAGCTGGTGACAAAAAAAATAAAAGGTTGGTGGCATACCGGTATAGACCGAAGTTCTTTTCAAACTTCATCCACCCACCCGCCCACAGATCATTATTTATTTATCTACTAATTAGAGAATTACTATAGACCGTTATATCAACAGGGATATCGTGAGGTTGAACTTTTTTTTGTATGATATTATGTCGTGTATACCAACCATCGCTCTCCCTCCACAGAGCATGGGTACGGGTAGACTCCAGGGGAAATTCGCCTCACATACGGTATACAGTATACTGTATCATACCTGTATCGTATGATAGGTGAAAATCCGGTCCGGATTCGCTCCGCTGGGTCGGTCAGTGGCTGGCAGTTGAAAGGGAAACTCTTAGTCTACAAGTAGACTACTACCGGTAGTATCATACAATACAGTAACCATACACTGTTAAATTGAGGCGTTGTCGAGAGGAGGATATCCCTTCCTTCCTTCCCTCCTTCCTTCCTTCCGTTCCTTTGTGGTTCGCCACGCCACGCCACAGAGATGTCCATCCACACCGTAAACTTAAATTTGAATACGGGGCGGGAGGGCCAATTCATCATCACCATCACAACCCACCGCATCATGGGGGTTCTAACACGACATGGAATAAATTGTATGGTGGTCGAAACTTTTTATACATATATATATATATCCATATCCCGTACTGGTGACGGATGTACGTGATTTGGGAATGTATCATAGACTTAGCAGGATGGGCAAGGAACGGAGGAGGAGGGGGAGGAGGAGGTATTTGATTGTGCGAGTGATTGGTGGTGAGTGTTCAGATGGCTGCTCGAGTATTATTGCCAGTCTTTGAGACGGAAAACACGCTTGGGCAACTTGGATGGGCAAAACCGGACGCGAAAACGCAGGTAAGCAGACACAATGAGGAACGATGTAAAAAAAAAAAAGTCTCCAGTCTACTATTATTGTGTATAGTACTTGTAAAGACACGCGCTTCTCGTTTGTGATCCTGTGGAATTCCAGAAACAAAACGGAGCGTTACAATAGGCTAATTCGAGCGGGTGGGCTTAGCGCCATCTAGCTCCCGTCGACTGCAGATGGACGGACTTGGCGTAATCTAGTCTAAGACAAGCACTGGACCATTGCAAGTACCGTACAAGTACAGTACCCCACATCCATCCTCCTGTGTGTATATGCCGCGTCCGGTCCGCCAGCGCCTCCGCGAAGAACAAATCTACAGCTTTGACAGCCTCTCGTGAAAATCCACCGTCAGGGTTTTATGCCTTGGAGTCGCAACATCTTTCTCAGCCTCCTTCCCCCATCGCTTAATACTCTCTATCAGAAAGGGTGCTGCTAATTCGGCTATCCAGATCGTTAGCTCCCACTGTCCCCCCCTCCAACTCTCGACAACCCCATGGCAAAAGAAAACTCACCCGACTTGGCCGGCATCTCCAACGGAAACAAGTGATACCCCTTCTCCACAATCTCCAGCATCGCCCCGGGCGTCAATTGCAACCTGTGCTTCATCCGGTGCGGTGGGCAGGCGTACGAATTTTCCCCAGTGAGATACATTAATGGTGGTGTTATGAGCGGCATTAATTCTAATGTTGCGCTGGGCTCATCTCTTCCTAGCTGGGGGCCATTTTGGAAAGACTTGTCGTGGCGGATGAAGGTGTAGACTTCTTGGTGTTTTGTTGTGGTGAGGGTTACCCCGGCTTTATCGGGGTAGATCGGTGTGGGGAGGGGGCGGAAGCCGACTTTCTATATATTGTTAGCCGTTAGAAGTATATTTTCGAGGTTCCCGGAAAAAAAAAAGGGGGGGGGGGGGCATACGAGGTAGATTTCTAACACCCGGGGGTCCCAGGTTTTGTAGAATGGTCGGGAACGGACGTATCTCTCTGCTTCGACCATGGATGGCCAGATGTCTCGTCGTTTTGCGGATAGGAAAGAGGGGTGCGGGGATGGGAATAGGGACTTGTCTTGTATGATTGGGTCTAGGAGGAGGATTGAAGCGAAGAGGGAGGGGTGGATCAAGGAGATACGAGCACTGGATTCGTCGTCAGCTCATGTGCTGGGGATTTGCTATCGGGGCCATGAGGCTCTCGAAGAGCATTTAGGGGGATATTGAAATTCTCACATAGCATGACCGCCATAGCTGTGCCCTATTCCGATTACCGGGGGTGGGAAATCTTGGGGTCGTTGGTTGACCACATGCAGCACATCTCTGGGGAAGTCATACCAGCAGGCTGCAAACAATTAGCTCTCCACCATATAATAGCCTATCGAACGGTGGCGGAGAGCTCACGCTCATCTCCAATCACCTCCTCATTTAGCACTCCTGAAGCACCCTGGTGAGCAGCATCAGGAGCCCAAATCGATCTTATCCTCAAGCCAGATTTTTCATACTCCACCAACAGATGATCGAAGAAGGGTTCATAAAGCTCCTAGCCTCCGTTGTCAGCGCCCAATCACGTCACGTTCCGCCAGTCCTGAGACAAGGTTAAAATACCTTTTGAACCGCATTCGCGTGGCAAAATATAATGGTGGCATCCCTGGACTGCTCTGACGTTCCAGCATTTGACCTTGGAGTATACTTGTTCACAGCAAGCTTCAGTTGGGGGGGATCCGTGGCGGAAACGGAGCCCCGGGGAAAGCCCCGCAGGTGAGATGCGGGGAGCACATGAGTAGCAATATGAAAGCGTGACATTCCTAATGTCTGGGAAACGGCCTACAGCGAGCGGGCGAGGACGTACGAGTACAATGGTACGGGCAACGGGTAAGAGAACTGTGGGTGTTCGGCTGACTGGTCGGTTGATCGGGGGTGAAAAAGAAATAAAGACTTGGGGGTGGAGGGAGTGAGACCTGGTGCGTGCTATATACGCTCTTCCCCTGCCAGAACACTCTGAAGAACCTCCCCCGGGATACGAGCTTGATGTCTCACTCTCCGCTGCTGGATGGGTTGCTCGAGCAGTGAGACGTGCAGCGCATTAGTTATTGCATGTACCTCCCTTATGTTACCGTACCGGTATTCGGGTCGAACTCACTCGTAGCGATTGATGCCCTGCTGTGTGCTATTGCAGCGCCAGCAATACTTCTCCGACGGTGGGCTCGCCGGTAGACTGCAGTATACTGAACGAATCTCGGGGACCCAGCAGCTAGCAATGTTTGCTAGAATTGGGGGGATATCGGTTTCCAGGCTCCCACGTGAGTGCCGAGGTCAACTTGGGGCTGACCTTACACAGTTCATGTTCCTGCAGTGCTCTCTACAAACGGAAAAAAAGACCAAAATAAATAATATACTTCGGGCGTGTCGTAAATTTTTTTTTTTTTTTTTTTCGGTGCTGGGTTTCAAGATATCCGTGGAGTTATCGTGGCTCGAAAACAAACCAATTTTGGGGTGTTTCGGCCTCTGCCTGGTTACTGAACGACCTCTATTGACGGGAGAGATACGAATGACCAGCCATGATCGGTTCTCTACCGTGCTGTATGATACCGGTACCCTCTTGTGGAATCTTCAAAGACGCCTTCGCGATGTTGGGTCGAAGCGAAAAAAAAGGGCTTGCGCTGCAACGGCGGTGCTCAGTACTGTACGAGTACAGTACAGTACTGTGCACACAATCACACTTCCGAAACTGTGCCGTCCGATTGCGAGCCGCAAACCGTAACTACTACACTTCGGTCAAGCCCTGCCGGATCCCGGCTTTGCGCCGCATAAAGTGCGAATAAATCGGGCAAAAGGCGAGGAAGGGGGGTTCGGGTGCCTAGCCCGGTGGGATTCGAACGTGATGGGTCTCTCCTCATGGGCTGTCTCGTTCCGCAGGCGCTGACAGGTACCCAGGAAGGATTGACTGCCGGTACCATGGGTGTGGCGAGCGGTTGGGCAAAGTTGCACTCATAATGGCCCTGTTACTGGGGCATTTTTGGGGGGTAGAAGTCGTCCCGGTCTCTGATTGTTGAAAAGTACACTTCAACGGTACGTACAATGCTTACCGTACTGCACTTTTTGGAGGGGTTTGGTCTCGCTGGGGATAGTTCTCCAGTATCGACATCCTTTACCTATGATAGCAGCCAAGAGGATGGCCGGTCTTCTGTCCCAGTGCGAATGGTCTGGCTTGACACGAAAGGGGGAAGCTGGCCCATCTGCAGAAACTGACCTTGCGGTATGAAATGGTCATCGAGACAGGGAGTGAGCTAGGAAATATTTGGGTGGTTTGGAGACTTTCATTCTGGCCTTGATCGTATTGTATGATACTGACAAGATGGCGGAGAGTATCGTGCTCCCGATTGCGCTACCTTCCCGGCCCAGTGGTGGGGGGTAGAGATATTGCCCACGAGACCGGTATCGTACTGTACGAGTACCACCCGGCCGGGCATCTCGCTCTCCCGGTGCCGCACCGGTGCAATGCGGTATGATACCGGTACCAGACACTGGCAGGTGGTTCGGAGTTACCGGTACTTTACTAATCATCGCGTCGGTGTATCATGCTTTGTGTTTGCTTAGGCCTACAACTGCTACTGGATCAAGGACTGACTGGACAGAGTTGATAGCATGTAAAGTACCGGTACAGATATAGAATACAGGTCGCCGATAATTGGTCAAGCCGTCATACTGATACTATACCGGTGTTGCGGGTGGTTCTCTCCTCTCCCTTGGCTGGATGGTGTGTCGCGCGTGCCGTATCCCGCCTCCTTCCGTATGACTGTGACTTCCTGATAAACCTTGCAGTAACTAAGTGCAGGAATGACCCGACAAGGTACAGATAAATCCACTGAACAAGATAGGCAGAAGTGAGATGCGGTGCACCCAATCACTGCAGATAAAGGAACGCCGCTCTATTGCCTTGGATCTCCTCTCTTGTCGTCCACTCCTAACCTAAGGAACAAAACAGCGGCTTAAATACAAAAACCTCTGCCTGCCAAGCTGACTATAAACACGAACTTTTAGTGGGTGACGAAATGCCTCTCGTGACTGCTAAACTACCCAACCCTATCTCCCTCAGTCACAAGGATCTCTCCTTTCCTGAGCCTTCGCCCCCGAAGGTAAACAACAAAAAAAACACTTCCCGACATTCAATCTGGCCCCTCATATAGACATCTGCTCACCGACCCAACTAAACGAGTGACCCATCCTGATCCTCCTTGCCTTGTTTTACCCTCTCTCCCCAATTATCCAATCCCTTGACTCTCATCCAACCAGTCCAAATGTACCCTACTATCATTACAGGTTCCTGTAGCTCCTCCGCCGAGGTCATATACCTCATCTCGATGCTCCCACCGCTCTTCTCCACCATATTCCCACAGATCCACCAAATTCACATTCTCAGTAACCGTCGGGCGTGTCAGATATAGCTTCAAATCATTCAGGTGGACACGATCCTTCAATCCTCCCTTCTTGACCCGGACCAGTTCTCTTGTGTTTATATCGTATAGCCGCCCACTTCTCCCATGCCATGCAAGGTCCCCAAGAAGATATGGCCCTTCCCACCTAGCTTCTAGCTTATTCCCCCGGCGCTGATCCAAGAGAAATCTCCTCAACAGGACAAGATCACCTGTCTCTGGCGGTCTGTGTCGTGGTAACCTCTGTCTGATCTCTTGTTTTTCAGCCTGCCTTGATATCAGAGTAGCGGCCTCGATCCGCGCATGATCTAACCGTACTAGTCGCTCAAGTTGCCGCTGTGCCAGCTGCTCATCGCTACCCCATGAGCTCATTCCCTGATCCAGACTCATAGCAAGGGCTGTCACGGCACACTCTGTATCCGATCCGACCTCCCAACCTGTCCTGCTTGGGTTGTACCCTAACAGTAACTCAGCTGGACTAAACCCATGGACAGAAAGAACCCGCGTGTTAATGGCATGGATAACTGGATCAACGACTAGGTCCCAATCCTCCTGCGCTAGTCTTCTTCCCATTATTGTAACCCTCAGTCCATCAACCAGAAGCTTCACGTACCGCTCAGCCAGGCCGACCGACTGCGGGTGTGCCTTCGGAGCTGGCACATGGATGACCGAGAGCTTACTCAGTATTCGAGCGAACTCTCCCGAGACAAAATGGGTGCCATTATCTGTATAGATAGCCCTCGGCCACCCGAACTGACCAACTATTGCCATCAAGAGAGAGACTGCTGACCTGCCCTGACAATCCGGAACTGCCTTGCCGAAAAGAAACCGCGTGAAGTAGTCTACTCCAATGATTATATACTTATTTCCCCGTGCTGTGTCTGGAAACCTTCCCACGAAATCGAAGCCCATCATATCCAGTGGCTGAAGGTGAACGATGGCCATCTGACTTACCGACGGCTTCAATGGCCCCACCATCTGACAACTTGGACAGGTAGCACAATACAGGTTCACATCCTTAGCCCGCGTTGGCCAATAATACCGTCCTATGATTGTTCTTAATAAGACTCCTGCCGCAAAGTGCCCATGACAGTCATGGGTCTGGTAGAGTATTGTCCCGACCTCTGCTGCTCGGACACAAAAAGCTCTTTTTCCATTGCGCTCGATAAACACCAACCGATTCGGAATCCTTGTAGTGAAATGACTGGCATCCGAGGTTCTGATTCCCGTAATTGCCGATTCATCTGGCGACTGATGATGTAGCAACTGATATGGCTTCGATTTGTGACGGACGAGGCGTCTCTGGTGGGCGGAAAGCGGCCTCCCGTCGTCGTCACGATATGTGTCCAGATCGCCGAAGAGCTTGTAATGCACAACCTCTCCATACCACTCGTCTTCAAGCCATTCCTTCCATGACTCTGCCAACTGCTCCTTCCCTACTGCCAACACTTCTACCACCTTCTCTGTATCCATCTCTTCCTCCCCAGCTAGTACATATCTCATCCTACTCATCCCATCCGCCAACACATTCTCCTTCCCAGGTATATGAATATACTCAACATCATACTCAGCCAGACGTACTTGCCACCGTACAATGCGGCCATGGGCGTCATCCTTCCGCAACAGACCCAGTAATGCTTGGTGATCCGTGTAGACCTTAGTTGAGAACGGGGAGCCCAACACCAACCACCGGACTTCTTCCAAACATCTGAGAATTGCTAACGCCTCTCGCTCCGTCGCAGAGTACCGTGTCTCTGCCGGCAGAAACCGCTTCGATATAAACATTATAATCTTCATCTCAGGTCTTGTTGCTGCGCTCAGGGTTGTCCCCGCCGGGAGCTTGGGAAGTTGGAAAAGTACCCCGCCGAGTGCATGTGCCGAGGCATCCGTCATGAGGTGATACTGCCTGCTATCATCACCCCCAAATACCACGTTCTCGATGATTGCCTTCTTCACTGCTTGAAATGATTCTTCCTGCTCTTGTCCCCATTTTAGCCCGCAAGCGATCTTGACTGCCCTTCCTCTCTCGCTGATGCATGAGGGTCCTCTCATCTTATCATCCTGTAATGGGCGATAAAGTATAGCCTCCTTGAGGATACGCGCATGCTCTGCCCGCCCCGGGATAAACTGCCGCAGGTAAATTGTCATATAGAGAAATACTTCGACCTCCTTTGCATTTGTTGGATGCGGGTACTCTCGTATTGCTCGTACCTTGTCCAACGATGGCCGTAATCCACTCCCATCACTCTCGTACCCCAACGGGTCTATCTTCTTCAGAAAGAAACCACACTTACTTCCCTTGAGCGTGATCCTTGCCCAAGCTAACCGTGGAAAATAATGCTCATGGAGAAACCTGAACTGGGTCTCAAAAGAGGTGAACGCTCCGAAATCATCATCTACGAAGCACTCGAAGGCCCCAGTCGTGCAGTGGTCAAGACAAGGCTCCGCATTCGGCGCCGGAATAGCTCCACTCAAAAGGCCCTTCAACCGTGCATATGTCTGTGGCGCACCCGCAAGTCCCTGGCCCATCCGCAGATACTGCCACTGCCCATTATGTGTCGAAAAGGAGGTCCGGTAAGCATGCGAGGGATGCATAGGGACCGCCCAAAACCCGTTGGCCGCGTCTGCCTGAAAGTAGCTTGAAAACTTGGCCTGCATTAAGTTATTTAAGACAGGCTCGATCCGCCTCATGGGATAGCCGGATAACATCGTCACACTATTAATTGGGCAAAAAACATGCACCATTCTCAATCCTCCATCCTTCTTTCGCACAAACTTTGTCCTATGAGCCCACGGTGACTCCGATCGCGCAATAATACCCGCCTCTTCAAGCCCGGGTAGGTTGAGCTCTAGCCAGTCCCGCTCCTCCCTTGTATACAGCTTATCTCGTGCACGCCTGGGCTGCGCCCCCTGGTGTATGGGAATCCGATGCACTACCAGATCTGTCACCGGCATATCCTTCAGTTGATCTGCAAAAAGGTCCTTCCAAGTATACAGCAAACGCTCTGCTTCCTCCTTCTGCTCTGCTGTCAGATGGACCCCCAACTTAATTCCTACTGTGGTGAACCATGTGGGAATCCCGGTTGCTGAACCCATCACCTTGCGGCGATAACTGGCCGGACGCCGCTTTGTTGGGAACTCCAGTATGTGCCCAAACTCCGCCATCTCCGCCATCTCCGTTGCCCTTCCCAAGGTCTCGACATTCGTCCAATTGGGTTCCACTCCTTGGTCGTATGGCTCTTGGACCCCCGGACCTTCAACTATGCCAACTACCTTCTCTTCAGCCGCTCTCATAATCTCATCACTCTTCCCCATTCCTGAACGTACATGTCTCCTCACTTCCCGTGCATTTACCATCTGTGAATCTTGTCCACTATCCTTCCAGCAGCCCACTTCCCCACAAAAGTAAATCTCCTCCTTACCAAACACTTCCATTTCATAATTCTCAATCCCAGTCCCACAAACTGCTTCTCCCCCTATCTGTCCTTCCTCATCCAAACTCAAGCCCTCAGAATCCGACACATCTAACACACTTGTTACACTCATCGTATCCCTCACACCAGATAGACGGCTCGAAATACTATCTGGCGACACTAGTTTTCCGCCTCGTCGGCCGAACTGCCACCTTCCTCCTCATCCTCATACCTGATCTGCTCCTCTGCCTGTTTCTTTACCAACTCAACTAAATCCTGAAAGAACCTGCCGCCACCCGACTGTTGCCATTCTAGCTCTTCCTCAATTTCCGCAGACAACTCACGCCGGTCTGTATCTCTGTCTCTCATAACAAGCGGAACACGAGGGCGGTGTCTCCGAGGCCTCATCTCTATGCCTTCATCCTTGGGGATTCTCACCCGGTCCCCGTGATGGTGCATGATATAGTACTGTCCACTGCCATAGTCTCCCTTTGCCTTCACAGCTTGCAGCCATCGTCTGCTCAATAGAAGGGGGTAAGTTGGCGTGTACTCTTCCGGGAGGGCATAAACACACAGATCGCATGAGACCCCAGCGATCACTATACGCACGTCTGCACAGTACCCGATCTTCGCAAGTGCACTCGTAGCAGTTCGAATGACCATTCCTCCAGCCTTCCGTAATCTTGCGCCAGTGAAACGTAGTAGGCGAATAGGCATCAGATTCACCACTGACCCCGCATCGACCAAGATTCTTGCAATATGATAGCTGCCTCCTTCCGTATGGATAATTCCCTTGGTGTAAAAGTTAGCGATGTCATCCAAACCTTGGTCGGTTGCTACGGCCAAGACGTTCTCTTCTCTAGGTCTTCCTCGGCCCTCACTGACTCCCCTGCTTGCTGTATCCTTGCCCCTTCCCTTTGCCTTATCTACCTTCTTTGCTCGCTCTTGAACTAGGAGGTGACAAATGTCCCGCTTCACCGATGGTGCCAAATCAAAGAGGGATCCCCAATTGAGTCCTGTAACTGGTGCCTCCCGGAACGCATCCACGAAGTCAAACCCCTTATGCTCTGCCATGAGGCGAATCGGCTTATGTGACAATCTAGACCCTGCCACCTTAGTCCTTTGCTTGCCTCGATCGGTCTCCATACCATCGTCGTTTTTATAGGTCTTCTGGCGCTGTGTCGCTGGGCCCTCTTCTCCGTCGAACTCACGGGGAAGCTCACTGTACCGGCGGGCTCTTTCACCTGCCATCACTGGTGCCGCGTCTGCTCGACCGGCCTCACCCACCTCAATGCAATCACTATTCTCAGCTTCCTCGATCCGCTGCAGAAACTGCTCCAAATCTACTGACTCCTCTACTGTCGCAGCTGATACGTTCCGCACCTTCACCCCTTCTAGTGCCGACGACCTTGCTACAACTTCGATCGCGTTGACTGGCCTGTCTCGGGGTTGCACTGATGCTTCTCCCCTGGACTCGACAGGAATGTCTGGGTGTTCTGGTCCAAGATTGCCGGTCCTAGGCACAAAACTGCGAAGTCTCGGGCAGTGCGAACGTAGGTGCCCTTCTTCGCGGCAGTAAAAGCAGGTGCGTGGACGGGACGGATAATATGGTACACCACTGGGACCCATAATTGGTTGCAGCCGTGATACCGCGCTGGATGAAGGGTCCAGTGCACTGTTACCCGACAGCTGGCCCCCAGGATGAATGAAGCGCGTATCTCCCATCACTCGCCTTGTACTGTCGTCAAAATATGAACGTGTTGGTTGACCCATGCACCCTAGCTCACGGTAGGTACCATCAGGGACTGCCGGATATGCCCCTCTATCCCCTTGACCAAATCCTGCTGACCGCACCTCCTGGCTACCCCTACTTGGGTACTCCACACGTCGTGTAGTAGGATGACTAGTATCTTGCTGCCTATATGGATACCTCATATAGCCCCCTCCGACTGCATAGGTTTCCAAAGGGATGACCTCTTCCTCAGGGCGAGCCGCCTCAACTCGAGCTCCAGAAGCAGTGCTCACCTTCTGCAGCTGCATGAGGTCCCGCATCATTTCTCGCAATTCTTGTACTTCTTCCCTGGCAGCCCTCTCGTCGCTGTGACTCTTACGGTTCCTTCTTGCTTTCCTCTTCGACCCCTCTTCCTTCTTCTTACTCAATGCCTTCTTCCTTGGCACCCTTCTCGCTTTCTTCTTTCTTTGGTCATAGTGATAACTGTCATCGCCATCCAGATCACTGCCGGAGGCATCGGAGTCCTCAGAGTCCTCAGAGTCACCACTCCCATCCTCCTCATCTTCATCCTCATCATCACAGTGCCTGCCACTGTGCTTGCGGTAGCCCTTGATCTTGAGTTGTGTAGCTAGCCGCATGACACCCTTAACAACCTCAACTGGTGTCTCCTGGGAGTCACGTCTACGGAAGCTGAGAGTTCCAAGTTCACGCAGACGCTGGCTTGTAAGCCCATCAAGGTAGTAGCCGGTGAGAATTCTGTCGTAGTGGCGGGTACCACTTGACTTCCGATGAAGTAACTTAATCACCTTGCGTGAGTATTCGAAGACATCCCGGTTGCCTTGATTGAGGGTACTCATTGTCGTCAAGATATCCTCCTCCGCTTGGTCCTCTCGCTCAGCATCATGGAACCGATTAACCAAGGCCTCCTTCAATCGTTCCTCATCCCATAAAACATCTCGTTCCAATCCATGGATAAACCTCCCAGCAGCCGAACGAATAGGACAAGCGACATGGAGTTGAGCGACCCGCATTGCCCTTGACTTGGGAGTCGCTCCATCAAAATCGTCACCCATCATGGTAAACCATGACTCCATCCACCTCAAGAACTCCTTCACCTTCACTCCCCCTTCACCAGTGAAGCTTATTCTCGTCTCGTACGGTGTACTCATGACCTTATCTGGCCTGGTCGCTGCTCGAGACAATGGCTATCGAGAACCTCTGTACTCGTCCCAGGCAAATGTAGCTTGTGAACAGGAGGGTAGGAGAGAGGGGGGGGGGGGCAAGTCGTCGAACTTCAGGGACACCAATCCGTTTCAGAGCACCAGTTGTTGCGGGTGGTTCTCTCCTCTCCCTTGGCTGGATGGTGTGTCGCGCGTGCCGTATCCCGCCTCCTTTCGTATGACTGTGACTTCCTGATAAACCTTGCAGTAACTAAGTGCAGGAATGACCCGACAAGGTACAGATAAATCCACTGAACAAGATAGGCAGAAGTGAGATGCGGTGCACCCAATCACTGCAGATAAAGGAACGCCGCTCTATTGCCTTGGATCTCCTCTCTTGTCGTCCACTCCTAACCTAAGGAACAAAACAGCGGCTTAAATACAAAAACCTCTGCCTGCCAAGCTGACTATAAACACGAACTTTTAGTGGGTGACGAAATGCCTCTCGTGACTGCTAAACTACCCAACCCTATCTCCCTCAGTCACACCGGTACGTACCGGTAGTTGTGTCTTGCTCTAGCCTCTAGCAGCTAAGCCCACTGCTCAGAGAGTGCTGACGAAGCAATACCGCCAAGACTTTTGAGTGTTTCTCGCGCCTCGACGCGTTAACCCATCAGCCCCCATGTGTTTTACGTGTTGTTGAGCTGAATCACACCCCCCCCCTCCTCCCAAACTTCCCCACGGCCATCGCCATTCCTCCGCTCAAGTCTGTCTGTCCGCCAACATCTGTCCAACATGGTCGACGACAGAATGGACCCCAATCCTATACCGGCACCCGCTCTCGCCGACGATGGCGGGACCCCTGCGCTGTTCAACGAGGTCACCTTCCACATAGTCGAGAGCCCGGAACTTTCCCATGAAGGTGCCCGAGAGGTATGGTTCGGACTTGCTGCGGATTGCCATGAATTTTTGGTATTTTTAATTTTAATTTTTCATCTTTTAGCTGACGGATTGGTAGGTCGCCCGGATGCTCATTGAAAATGGTGCCATGGAATCTAGGCCTCTTGAAACGGGCACTGTGACGCAACTGGACTTGCAAGAGATTACTCATATCATATCCTCTACCATTGACTTTCCTGACTACTCGGAGGTTGAGGGTCTTATGATCCCAGTGGTTAAGCCGGAGTGGGTCGACTTCTCAATACAGAAGAACCGTATCGCTCATGTGCGCCCATACACCCCCGACCCTAGATTCTTCCTTTGTGGAATCATTGCTACGATTGCGGAGCTGCCGGTTGGGGACAAGGAGGCAATTTGCGGGGGGATAATCGCTATGGGCGGGCAGTATGGCAGCAACTTGACAAAGTTTACAACTCACATAGTCGCGCTGAACATGGACAATGTAAGCTCGGGGTTGCATTTCCCCGGTTTAAGAGATGAAGCGACCCTAACTTGATGGCCTTTGCAGGAGAAATGCAGGCAAGCTGTGGCTAAGAGGATGTCGGTCAAGATTGTTTTGCCGCATTGGTTCGATGATTGTCTCAAGCTCGGGCGTCGCATTGATGAAGCACCCTATCTCCTCCCGAATCCAGAAATTGAACGAGTCGCCAACTTTGAACCAATGCCTCTACCGAAGGGCCCTGACCTGGCCTACAGCCATGCCCATGATGGAGGGGCAATGGCTCTTGACCCTCCATCTCCAGAGCGCAGCTCGTCGGTGTTTGAACGCAAGAAGATTCGATTGGGCGAGGACTTGGAATTGAGCCCTCGACTGAAGTCGGTTATAGCTACCGTTATTGTTCAGATGAAGGGTGAGGTTGTGGACAAGGTGGAGGATGCCGACATATATGTTGGTCAGTTCCGTGATGGAGACGAATATGTGGAAGCGAGCCGTGTAGGCATTCATGTAGGCAGCTTAACTTGGCTATATTGGATTTGTGCGCATGGAAGATGGACCTCTCCTCTGGCCAAGTTGCTCCATTATCCACTTGTTAGGGGCGGGCTGCCCGGGATGGAGAAATTTGTGAGCGTGACCGTATTGTGGCAAATTGTAACTTTACTAATAAAAGAGCTAATGCAGAAGATAACTGTGTCCAATTATGGCGGAGATGCTCGTCTCTACCTGGAGAACCTGATCGAAGCCTGCGGAGCCAAGTTTACGAAATCGATGAAGACGGAGAATACGCATCTCATTACAGCAAGGTTTTTATCTTATTTCCCCAAGCTGATCAGGAGTACCAGTGTCTAATGGTGAGCGGCGGTAGGAGCCATAGTGAGAAATGCCAAGCAGCGAGAGAGTGGAATATCGACATGGTCAATCACCTATGGCTCGAAGAGTCCTACGCTAAGTGGGAGATTCAAAGCGTGACGAATCCAAGATATACCCACTTTCCAGCCCGTACCAACCTCATGGAGGTTGTTGGTCAAACTCCGATGGATGTGAGAGCACTCGAGCAGTTTTACAGGAAAGACGACGATGATCTGATGAGCATGGACGAGGAGGGTGCTGGATACACCACCAACGGAAAGCGGCCGAAATCCACTCCGCGAGTAAGGGCCGTTAATAAACGCACTTCGCTCAACGATACATCGACCCCTTCAAGGTGGTCCAATGATGAATTGTCTGGCCCATCTCCGTCCATCTCGGGAAGTGGGCGAAAGGCGAAAGAACAGGCCGTCGCAAGGCTCCATCAACAGATAATGCCCGATGTGATGCAGTATGAGAGAGAGCAAAAGAGGAAGGGAGGTATTCTGGGCGGGGGGCGTGCACGCAGGAGTAAGAGTCCAGTTGATGAGAGGACAAGAAAGCGAACCGTATCAATGGGCGTCGATAGTACCGACGAGGACTCGAAGGCTGGCGTCAAAAAACAAAAGAAGCGTCCACGGCCTACCGTTTCTCTCCTCATGACGGCATACGGGGATTGGGTTCATCAACCGCACAGGGAAGAGGCTGATAGGGTAGGTGTGGGCGTTCCCTTCGGATCGACGGCGTTGCTGACAGTTCACAGAGAGCGCTTGCCGATCTGGGCATTCAATGTGTCAATGATCCTGCGACATGCACACACCTCGCAGCGCCTCATATCGTGCGAACCGAAAAGTTTTGCTGCGCTCTGGCGGGGGCACCAATAATCGTTTCCACGGAATGGCCGAAAGCATGCCTCAAGGAGGAGAGAATCGTGGACACAGGACCCTATCTCCTCCGTGACTCTGACGGCGAAAAGAGACTCTCTATGAATCTTTCACAATCCCTGGAACGCGCAAGGAAGAACAAGGGTCAACTTTTGCAAGGCCAGATTATCTATGTTACTCCGGGCGTTCACGGAGGTTTCGAGACCTATCGCAAGATTGTAGGAGCCAACGGGGGCGTCTGCCTTTTATTCCGCGGTCCCGCAAAGCGAGCAACCAACCTGCCCGACAGCGACACTCTGGTTCTCCTGAGCGGAGATGACGCTACGGATAAGAAGCTTTGGAATTCTTTCCTCAAGATGGCCAGGGCCAAAGAGAAAGAAGCGGTGGTCTACAAGGCAGACTGGCTACTGGACCTGGCAATGACCCAGAAAGTAGAGTGGGCGGAGAAGTACGAATTCCCCAGTAATTAATGTTCCCATCTCCTTTGGAGTCCTCGGGAGGATATGTGGGTTTTTCATTAGGTGTTTCTCATGCCAAGTGTGTGTGTGTCCGGGGGGTATCTTTTGGTTCTTGCTCTTTTGCTCTTCATGTATTTCGAATAGTCTGTACGGTTAGGATTGGGGTTAGAAACAAGCATTTGGCGTATAACGGTCATGGTGGTCTGTGGTCCGGGACTGTACGGTAGTTGTTAGTAATGTCGGGGCTGTTGCACGAAAATTTGCAGACTCGGGTTTTGATGGGACCCGAGTCCATAGCTTGGGAGATGAACGTATAATAGACTGGTTTGGCTTCTTCTCTCTTTTACATTTCAGTCGGTGTGAGAATCGGAAAATCAATGGGTGATACATAACACTGCCATAGCGGGGCGCTGTTGTGAAATACTACTATGGGGTATAGTTGTGACTGACATGCAGATAGACAGATTGAAACTTCTGAGTGAGTGAGTTGAAGTTGAAACAGCCTGGGTGTTGCCACGTTGGTTACGGGTATTAGCCCTTGGTTGTGGGCTTGGGATTATGGGCTACCGTAGTGGGAGCACCTGTACTCGAGTACAGTATCACAGCTCCGGCAGATGCTTTGCCCGACACCAACATATTATAGATTACCTCTATGATAGCATAGTTACAACTCAACACCCAAGCTTGCTCTCGCCGAGAATCAACCCCCCTCCCCCTCCCGCCTCCGCCACCAATCGCCGACCGATCGACCGCATCACTCAAGACTAACGCTTCAACTCGCACATGTAGACCTCGATGCATCGCCGTTCTCTCGCCCTCACCACTGTAATCATACTTCTGCTCCTTAACACAACAGCTCAATTCTTCCCTTCCCTCCGCCTAATCGTCTGGGCCTTCTTCACCGGCGGCGTCGCATCCATAACCCTATTGCTAACCTTGGGACTCTTCACCGTCCACCGCCGCCCTAGCGATAATAATGTCCTCAAGACAATCAAGCCCCTCGCCTTTGCGTCGCCGGCCCTCTGGTCCAGGGAAGTCGAAGCGATAGCGTTGGAAGACTCCTTCCACAGACTGCCCTTATACCCGCCATCGTTCGTGCTCTCGGACTCTGTCGATGTGATTCTTGAGAACGCCCTTCAGGACTTTGTAAACTCCTGGTACTCCAAGATATCCTCCGACCCATCCTTCACCATTCAGGTTGATCGGACGATTCGCCATGCGCTGGAGGTCTTGCGCGATCGGATACAGACTTTGGACCTTGTGGAGGTTGTCGTCGGGAGGATTGTGCCGCTGCTGACGGCTCACTTGCACGATTTTTCCGCTGCCGAGAGGACTGTCAGGGGGAAGCACCTTAACAAAGATCTTACCGAGTCGGAGGAGCTGGATTTGGCGATTGCCGGCAAGTATAGGGAGGGGAAGCTTCACCCTGCCGCTAGCTTGAAGTTCTCGGATACGAAGCTTGCGCAGCAGGATCACTTGAGGCTTCTGGTGGATAGGGTATTGCCCATGCTATTGCCTGAGAGGGAAAGGAAGAGTAGGGCCGTGGTGACGATTGTCAAAGAGGTTGTGGCTTGTGGGATTTTGTTCCCGGTTATGGGGATATTGGGTGATCCAGATACTTGGAATCAGTTTATCGAAGCTATAGTACGTCCCGCAAATCTTTGTCTCCCAACGAGAAGCTTGTTCACCTGTGTCGCGCCGTGCGTATATGCTGTTGTTGTGTGGCATTGCTAACCATGGTTTGTCTCCAGGGTCGGTCGACTCTCCAAGATCGTAAAACCGTTCGAAAGCTCAGAGCCGCTCTGGACCAACATGCTACTCCACGCCACCCAAACCCCCTCGGCCACTTGAGGAATTACTCTCAGGTGGAACTCGCGCCAAGTCAGCCATTCATACGGCTTTCCGCTAAAGACGACGAACGCACCTTCGAGAGGTTTATTCGGTCGATTAGACTTTGCAACAACCTCTCCGATGCCAGGAGATTGAGGAATGAGGTCAGTGCTCAATTGAAGAGGGATGAGAGGGTTGAACCAAAGGAGGGATGGGGTGTATACCTACGTAGGTTAGAGACCGGCAAGCGAGAGGTTGATAAGAGGGTTGCTCAATTGTCCGCTGGTGTTGCGGGGCCGGGCGGTGGGCCCGTAAAGGTGCATTCGGAGATGTTCGCGCCTAAGCAGGCTACAGCTAGTCACCTGGAGTTTGCGACTCTGCAACAAGTTCTTCGGGATTCTTCTGGCCTGTCTTACTTCATGGTGTGTAGGAGGTTTCTACGATATAAGAACTGTTTTACTAATCCATTTCCCAGGAACATATGGACCGACGTAGACGCTTGCCTCTGGTACAGTTCTGGCTCGTCGTCGACGGCCTTCGTAATCCGTTGGAAGAGGATATATCATCATCCGACGACGGGCAGGAGACATCCACCTCTACCGCTCATGCTGCTTGGACACCGTCGGATCGAGCTGACATAGCCCAGATCCACGAAGCATATTTATCAATGCCGGAGCTTCAGATACGGGAAAAGACCAAACTCGCGGTGAAAGAGTTTATCAAGGCAGGGAGCAATGCAACACAGGAACAGTACGTAAGGGCAAGGGCGGCTGTGTTGAGAGCTCAGACGGCGGCGCTTGAAGAGATGCAGCAGAAGGACTTTCCCGAGTTCAGGGCTAGCGATTTGTTCTACAAGTATTTGGCCTCTGACGAGACTGCCGCAGCACAGGTGAGGCCTGTGTCTGGCCGGGCGAGCCGGGAAATGGTCCGGAGCTCTTCATGGGCCAACGCCTCGCACCCCTCAGGAACGCCGGATCCCATGATATCGTCGAGGCACTCCCTGGACGGAGCCAGGCCCGCAGAAAGGCCCCTGGAGGATTGGGACTTTGATCCGCTGTCAAACTCACAACAAGGTCTTGGCGAGGAGCCACCCCAATACCCACAGCATCTCGGCCAGCCCCAACAAGAGCCAAGAAGACACAGCCCGGAAGATGGTATTGTGGAAGCAATGGAAGCAGCACTGAACGACATCATCGAAGACCGTCCAGGCCTCGGCGAGAGCAGGAGTTCGCCATTCCAGAACAGCCCTGTTTTAACAGGGCCCAATTCACCGCGGAGCTCGATAGACGTATCCCGGGATAGTAATAGCAATGGGACTGGGAGCGGGAACGGGAATGGACAGAAGTCCACCGCGGCATCCGCGATCAAAGATAAAGCGAAGGCGAAGCCGCCTAGTATCTCTTCCCTCGGCCTCGTCGGCATGGGCTCCAGCGGTGGCGTATTCGCGGACGACGAGTTATTCCCTGACGAGGCGGCTGTGGTCGATTATCTCTCCTCTGGCGAGGAAGCTGAGGACAAGGATGGTACTAGCGGGGGTAGTGGGTCCGATGACGATATTCGACAGGCTGCGCCCGGCGATCTTGGACTGGCGGAGGCGATTGCTGCATTGACATTTGATATCGAAAAGTTGTCCACTCAGGAGGCGGTTGTCGATAGTCTTTACCGGAAGGCAGAGTTGACGAATAATACTGTTGAGCTGAGAATTCTAGGGAAGAGCAAGGCTAGCCTGCATCGTGAGATTCGGAGGAAGGAGCTTCAGAGGCAGCAGTATATTGTCCAGGAGAGTGACAACAGTCTTTATGTGAGTTCTTCTAATCACGCTATTGAGCTTGATATAGCATGGCTAACCAGGCACCCAGGGCCGTGCAACAATAAGAATCAAATCCACCAGGGTCGGCAGGGAGAATGGTCAAGAATACGCTCTCTGTAATTGGCCCATGTTACTACCTTACCGCTTAGGCTCATCAAGCTAACTTTGCATAGATATAATAGAAGTGCATCGCCCCGCCGGTGACCTAATGCCGCCAGCAACCTGGACCGTTCCCCGCCGCTACAGCGAATTCCTAAACCTGCACCAAGCCCTCCGCAGCACCTTCCCGAGCGTCAAACCACTGGACTTCCCCCGGCGCCGGGTAGTAATGAAGTTCCAAAAAGACTTTCTGGAAAAACGCCGAGTTTCACTCGAAACCTACCTTCGCTCTCTCCTCCTTTTGCCGGACGTCTGCAGAAGCCGAACCTTCCGTTCCTTTCTCTCACAGAATTACATCGCTCCCACACCTTGTGCCTCCCCTTCCGATCCGAGCATATTAACACCAGCAGACTACCGCCGCGACATAATGTCCCGGCTCTACAACTCGATAGCAGACGGGGTGGAAGATGTCCTGGGGACAATCCCATTGCTAGACCAACTATCCCAACAAGACCCTCCTCCCTCCATCCCCTTCCCTCCCCTCCCCCAGCTTCAGCACCAATCCAATCCTCCGAGCATAATCCCCGGTGAAACCATCGATGCAGCGGAAGCGGAAGCCGAGCTCTCCGCCTTTGAAAACCGCGAATCAACGCCCTTCGTAAAGCCCATCTGCGACATCTTCTTGGAGGTATTCCAGTTGAATCGGGGAAGCAATTGGCTCCGCGGCCGCGCTGTAGTAGTCGTGCTGCAGCAGTTGCTCGGCGGGACGATAGAGCGGAAGGTACGCGAGCAAGTGCGAGGATTGGTTGATGAGGAAGGGGTTATCCGGTATTTGGACATGTTGAAGGCGACCCTCTGGCCGGAGGAGGCGATAGCTATGGGTCATCAGCAACAGCAGGCGGGGAGGAGTGCAAAGGAGAGGGTCAGGACAAGGAATGAAGCCAAGATCATACTTGCTACGCTCGTCCCGGACCTTGCTGGGAGTGTTGTTGGGAGGGAAAATGCTAGAGCTGCTGGGAGGAGGTTATTTGCTGGGTTGAATAATGGGAGGTTGAAGTTTGTCCCTCCCTTTCCTCCCTTGATGAGGTAGGTTCGACTAACGTGTGTGATGGGGGGGGGGTTTATTCATCGATTGTGTATACGATTCTAGACGAGCTCGTTGGAATCGTGTTTGACGAGCGACTGTAGCCGTTGATATCATACTAATATTGCAAAGGGAGTGGAAGGAAATGCGGGGTAATAATGTAAATGTATTTTACATTCCATTTATCGTAGTATCATAGATGTCTTATATCTCCTTTCCTTTTACCCTGAACAAAGTGAAGGGATGGTACTTTTCCGCAGCAAAGAGAAAAGAAAGAATTGTTCTATTCCGCACACCCCATGTGATATATTCGACTCTCTTTCTCATAATCCACTCCAACCTAATGCCCCCCCAGCTACCGCCGAGCAACTCCGCCCCGGAAATCTTGTACCATAGCTAAGATGGCCTTCACCCAAATTTTGGCCATCAACGACAATCTCTTCCAATCCGCTTCACTCGATCACCGTGCTCATGACCTCCCCGCACCCGCGTAATATAGGCCAATCGCCACCCCTCCAGATCCTCTCGATTATTTTTTATTAGCATTGGGAGTTTTTCTTTTATACCAACACTGCACTAAGCAATCATCAATTCACTCATCCGTATCGTAAGTGTTTCACCACACGCCTGACCGGCGGTTAAGTCAGTCGATTTAATTATTGCATTCAACGAGATGTAAGTTAGCTCCTGTCCATTGTGGCGGGTGTTGTCGAGATATGATAGTATGATATTATAATATATTATAAAATAATGCAAGATGTTAATAAAAAATATATAAAAAATATAAGCAGGGGTTTGGCAGGCAGGCAGGCAGGAACGTGGGTTTTGCACAAAGTTGGTTGGTTGGTTAGTTAGTTAGTTGGAAGGAGGGGGGGGGCGGTGGGGACCAGATCCGGTATTGTATTATAATTATACGATTTGTGAACTCCTGCGGGTTAGACTAGAGTTTGATTTCTTCTGTACAGTACTGTACTGTGCTGTACTAGTGATTTAGCTGGTAGGTAGGCAGTAGGTGCAGTAGGTATCATAGATATTGTAGGAAAATTCCTTATCGGCAACTGAGTTCGACGCATCTATATAATCTATATATTCTTAAAGTGTCGATCTCGGAATATGATAACATCATTATGATACAGGTGTATATCATAGCAGGTATCCTGCCCTGCACTCCCCGTATCGACTATGAATTCATCGAGTGACCAATCATGAATATCAAGATCTCCAATAGCTATCATACCACCTATCCATTCCAACCTTATTACTGTAAGCTACTCGCCCAAACCGACAGACATATCAATCACATCCAACTCCACTTAATCGCCACGATACAATACAGTCCACAAAAACCATAATATTCCTCGTGTCTTCTTTTTTTATACCAATTCATATACGATATAATAAGGGAGACAAACAAACCAATAAAATCAAGGTTGAAAATGGGCAAGTCAGAATCCCTAACACGATACTTAAAAATCCCCCAATCAGCCAACCAAACGCAAAACACCCACCCAAAAACGGAAGAAGAAAAAGGGGGGGAGAAAAAGGAGAGGAGAGCAGTTACAAGCTAAGGGAAGAAAAGGCAAACAAGAAGGGTAATGTAAGGAACAATAAAAAGAAAAAACAGGAACAAGGGGGCAGAGCAGGTTTAGAAAAAAGAAAAGAAAAAAAAAGGTCAGTTATTTATAACATCACCGACTGCTAACTCCGCTCGAGGTCTCGCTCACGGAGATGGATGGTTCGATGACCTGGCTTCTGATTGTTAAGATCTATGCCCCCCACCATTAGCTCCCGTCCCCGTCCGAGAAAGCAATGAAAGGAAAGTAAAGGGACAAAACATACCCACTCATGTTGCAACAACTCCGCAGCAGAAGGCCTAATCCCCGGATCCCTCTCAAAGCACTTCTTCAGGAAGTCGATGCCACTCTCACTCAATTGATCAGGCGCAGGCAATTGCGGTGGATGTCCCGCAGCGATATTCCACATGATAGCCCACTCGTTATCCAGATTCGCCCATGGCCTTCGTCCGGTTGCCATTTCCAGCACCACACAGCCCAGGGACCATATATCGATGCTGCCATGGCGGCCCTTGTCCGAGCCCATGATCACTTCGGGGGACATGTACATGGGTGTCCCGGTCATCGAGCTCAGGTTTGTGCGTGCGGTAGTGGCTACGCCGCCACGGCGTGTTTTCCCCTGGCGCGCTATCACCTTGGCGGCGCCGAAGTCGACGTATTTGATTATGCCATTGTGGTCCAGCAGAATGTTTTCCGGTTTTATGTCGCGATGCACGATGCCCGACTCGTGCAGGTAAGCGAGGCCCTCTAACATTTGCAGGGTGTAGATCATAACGACGGTCTCGTCCTCGATACGGCCATGCTCGAGGAGACCGGCTAGGGAACCGCCGGAGCAGTACTCCATGAAGAGGCAGACCTTGTCACGATGCACCTCTATGCCGAAGTATTGGACGATATTGGGGTGGTCGAGGAGTTCCAACACCTGCATTTCCTCACGGATGGCGTTTGCAATTTGTGGGATTACTTGTGGGTCCTGGAGGCGGATTTCTTTGACCGCCATTAGGTAGCCCGAGTCTAGGTTCATTGCCGCATACACCGTGCCGAAGGTCCCGCCGCCGACGAATTGGCCCTGTTGCCAGCGCAGGGAGACGTTCGAGAAGGAGGACCTTGATAGGGAGGTTAGGGATCGATCGGTCTGGTTGCTGTCGTCTAATACTCGGCCGAGGGCTTGTCGCTCGCTGAGGAGGCCCTTGCGGGCGTTGTCGATGTCGGCTAGTTGGCGGAGCCATTCCCCCCGTATGCGGTCGGCGGCTTCGCTATCTTCAAGGAGTTTACCCATGTCCATCTTAACTTGGCCAGCAAGCACCTCCATCTTTTGCTTCTCAGCTTGCGCCGCGAGCGTTGAACGAGCGCCCATGATGTCGAAATGCGAGATCAAGAGTGACATGCAGCCAGCGACTTTGGACCTTAATCGCTCGTACTCTACCTCGCTGAAGGAGAGGATGTTCTGGCCGCGGGTCATGACCATAGCAAATTCTAGCGCTTTTACAGCCCATCGAAAGGTCACACGGTTGGACGCAACGCAGTCATCACATATGAAGCTGACCCAGTCGATAGCGAGACGAGTGAGCTTGAGATTGTTCATCGCCTTTCGGTTGTTGTCCATGTAAAGCACGGAACGCTGCCCAAATTCCGTCGCGAAGGCAAAACAGGTCTGGATAAGCTCCTGGCAACCCAGCCCTGCGGTCTGCCCCCGGATCTTTTCCACGCTATCCATAATGGCGTTCGACAGTCTGTAGGTGGTCTTCTTGATCTTCATCAACTCCTGGTTGACGCGTGGAAGATTAGCTCTCTGCTCGATCAGAATGTCAAGGCTGTGATTCGTTGAGTGAGAAAATGAAAGCCGAGCGTTTGCTAGTCTCGTTTGGGAACCGTCCGCTACCAAACGGAGCCTTCCGGGCTTGATGTCCACAATCGGCTCCTTCATATCAATGTCCGAAATGAGCCCATCCCAGAGTAGCTGGTCCTGGGGACAGATGACCAGAACATATGGGCAAGACGGATCCTCTCGGACGACATCGTCGTGAAAACATGTCCGGAGGATCGATTGGATCTCATGCGGCCGGCCGTGCAAAGATGGATCCGCCACCAAATATACTCCCTCATGTTCTACACTAGCAGTGTATACCAAGAAGTGGCCCGACTCTATCAAAGAATCGACTAAACCTTTAAGTTTATACTTTTCAACGCTGTACTCGCTCGCATTCTCAAAACGCTGGCTCAAAAGTCTTGGAGGGGAAAATAGGATCAGCGGGTGCTTTGAATAGGGGGCGAGGGGGCTTTACCTCGCAAAACGGAATAATTTACGCTGCCGCACACGAACGGAATCTAAAATTTGTTTATACCGCTTGCTGATATCCTCTCCTTTAGCCTCCGGAGGTTTCTGCAACTCCTTCTCGAAATGGCCCATCAATCTACTAAGTAATTTGCTCGTTAAGGAACTACATTGTGTCAGCTAGTTGCAGCGATCCTTACGCAGTCTCCACGGCGTACCTAAACTGCTCGGCAACCTCAACATCACCCCCCTCTATATACCGACCAATATCATTGGAGAAATGCCACTCCGTCTCAAGGATTTCGGCCTCCTTAAAGGTATTCTTGTTGGACCCGATCCTCCAGCCGATAAGCCTGAAGTAATACCTCAGACCATGTAACACTACTTGCTCGAAGTTTTCGTCCATGCAGGGAGGAAGATCCCAACCAGGCTCCGGCTCCGAAATCACCATGTATTGCTGCTTAATCTCCACAGCAAGCCGGAGGACAGATTGGAATTGCATGATCAACTGGTCCGTCATCATTGACACCGGCTCCCTCATGTTTTCAGCATACTTGAGACGCATGCCGACAACCTCCTCAATAAGCCTTGTTGGAAATCCAATGAGCACCAGCAGCTCCTCGACATATGGTGGTAAATGACGCTTCTCAAAGGCCTCAGCATACTCGATCAGAGTCTTCTTCGCCTTGCCAATTACACTCCTCAAGCCAAGTAGCATGTTGCTCTCCCCGATCAACGACTTCAGGCTATCCTCCTTCAAAATCCGATCCAGGAACGATGACTCCCGATCAATGCTGGAAACATCGCTTGCGGAGTTAACATTCTGTCGGGCAAAATCCAGGTCAACATTCCCAACCCAATTTTGAAGGATTTTGAGCTCTGTATTGATCAGTTCGGTGATATTGTTCCAGGCGACGAGCGCGTCCCAACTTGCCGTGAAGGGTGGGGAAGCGCAAGCCGGCTTAGAATCCATCAATGCTGCCCGGGTGGGCCATAGCTGCTCGCATTTCTCCCATCTCAAAATGATGCCCTGGACTTGCTCTCTTGGGCTCTTTTCCGTTTTGTCCTTCCCCTGTATCTCAAAGCGAATAATATCACCAATAAGCGCATCCACTTTTGCCCTACCCTCCTCCAAAATCCTCCTCTGGGCCGGGATTGACCGGCCACACACTTTCGCCCTCAAACCGATGAAGAGCTCAGTCCTCATGATTACATCTTCCTTCTCTTCAGTATTACCGATCAACCGCTTCTTCTCTTGTTTAACCACATCCCCCATCAAAACTGATGCAAGCATAGCATGCCACTCCAGGCGCTCCCTATTCTCGGGAATCTTGAGTTCCTCCGCCGACGGTTCCATCTCGTCGTGACCGTAGAGCAATAGCGTATCCCCATCATACATATCATCCCCAAAGTGAACCTCGGAAGGAGACTCATCCTCCATCTCGAACTCATGCTGATAAGAGCCCAGGAGACCGGGACCAGAGCTGAAATAGTCGCTGCTCGGATCCTGGCGTAAGCGCTGTACGTAGGCTTTTTCCTGGGACCGGTAGAGTGCGCTGGGATCCCGGCGGGACCGGTTAGCCGATGAAGACCTATGCCTCGAGCGCTCGTTTGCCATATTCATTGGGTGACGCTGTAATCCGGGAGCATAGGTATGCGATGGTACTCGGATGGGGGCAGAGGGCCTTTGTAGTGATGACCGATCAACCACGCCTTCCGGTGACATTCTTCCGGAAGGTTCGGAAACAGGATAGGGCAAGGAGCGGACACCATTTCCCGTCCTCCCCGACCCGGCCCAAGAGGAAAACCCCCCATTGTGAATCGGGGCAACATCATCCCCAGACACCGACACCTCCTCGTCGCCATCCAATTCATCATACTCCACAGACATTTGTCGACCGGAAGGCTGAGAGTCGTCGGAAGAGGTGGAATCGTCTTGATGCGATGAACGCGCCACACCATCCAGAGACCCACCGAGTCGATGGATATCAGAAGGGAAATCGTTAGAAATAAAGTGGGCACCTCTCTGTCCAGAGAACTGGTCCGGGTCCAACTTCCTAATGGATGAAGTAGCCATGCAATGGAATCGAGGGTGGATAAACAGAATAGTAGTGCCGTCGCCTATTTTCTGTAAACTGCAAGTCCCTCGGGGCAATTAGATAAAAATAAAAGGCTCGTGGGTAAAGGAAGGGGTGTCGTGCAGCGCAACCTAATATCATAGGTGTCGGCCAAAAAAAAGATTGAGGCTAGACGATACGTCTAGTGATTGGTTGACACGCCGGTGAAGCAAGTCGCATCTTCACCCTGGTGAAAGAGCGAACGAGGGGCCAGAAAGTGGATGGTTAGGAGAGAAGGAGCGCTCCCGAGGGATTCAGTATCTAATCGATTCCGGGTCCTGGTGATGGGGGAGGCAATTAGAGGAGGATAATTGAAGGTGAAGATGGTTTCCTTCAAGTGCCACGGGCCCTCCGAGTGTGGCGAGGTAAGCTCAGGAGCAGTTCTGAACACGGGGAGGGTGGTTGCTGCCCATTTACCGAACCAAAGGAGATATCTGTGGCGTTAAGTTCACCTTCACGCTGAAATCGGAAATCGGGTGATACTAGGTGATCGGATTCGAGAGTTGAAGCGATGGAGCAATCCTGCGTATGATACTCCCCTCTCTCCAATGCTTTTGAGCGGTGTTGTGCAGGCTCCTCTGTTGGCGAGGTGGAGGCAAGAAGGGAAATCCTTTTCACTAGGGCACCAGTTCTACTGCACAGCCATGATATTGGTCACGATAGACCTATCCGAGAGAGCCATCATACTATCATGCCCTATGCACATTGAAAGCATCACCTTCCCTGGTATGGTGATTCGGTTCGCAGTAGAACCTGACTGCACCATACAAAGAGCATCCAGGCTTTCTGAGTAAACTAGAGCGCATTTTGTTCGATTTTTCTCTTAACCCTCTGCTTGCCAAAGTCGTCGTCCTGAATGCTCCTCCCCTCTAAAGTACACTCGTTAGAACTCGAACATCATATAATGCCAATTCACACTTCCCACATTATTCCCACCACACTTTTTCCTACCCCTCCTCCTCCTCCCCGTCTTATTTGAAAGCCGTTCTCCTCTTTGGTTGATAAAAATAAAATTGAAAATTCTCCCCCATACCTTAACAGCATGTTTACATTCTATATTGGAGTTTCTAGTTACTTATAACTGAGTTCATAGTATACTAGTGACACCTTAGTAGAAGGTTTAAGAACTATTACTATCTCCAAATGGTACATTTCCTGTTCAGAGAAGTTGAAAGCCCTTTTAGGTTTCTGCTAAGTCGGAGGGGGGGGGGTTCCGCCAGGAGGGGTTTCCGCATGTTCCATACAACCAATGTATGCCACCCAACCCCCTTGATATATCTGGGCACCATGTATTCAATTCTGATATGTTTTCTTTACTCTCTTCAATTCTGTGATCCTCAGCACTGTGGTTCACATACACAGTGAAAAGGACTTGCACAACACTTGTGTACAGGTGCTATGAATGCTCCAAGTCAAAGCTGGCTGGGGGGGTTAAGGCAGAGAATTCAGCTTTGGAGACCAATTCTGAAGGGTCTACCACTGAAAGTCCTATAGAAATAGGTGGTTCTGATGTAGATAATTCGAATTGAACAAAGGGGGTGGGTGGTAAACACAGACCAATACAGAAGTTATGGAAACCCCCCCTGGCGGAAACTACCCCCTCTGACTTATACTATAGCTTATTTGTACCATCCATTTCCAAACTCTCATCTGATTCCTTCTCTATTTATCAAACTCCTTTCTTTCCTCCCATTATTTCTTTCTCTAAAAAGGACTACTCTATAATTTAAGCTTAAAACTACGTTCTTTAAAGATCTAACTAATTGTATTTTTACTAAGACCAATATTAGTCCTTTAAGTAATATCCCTTAATACTAAATGTGGCTTAATATCAACAATATTAAGAATTACCTGACTTTTCCCATCAATAATCTCCATTGACCTGTCATACTCAAGGCTATCATAGATGTTGCCATGTCTTTTGGCCTTTTTTTATATAACTGATTGCACAGTTAACCTGGAGAGGTTTATAAGTTTAAGATTTTCATTACATCTATGCTTGAATAAGATGCATTGGCACCCTACCGCTAGCAAACCGCTCTGAACGAAATCTTCGCGGGTCCCTATAATCCCAAGGTTGGTATTCCCCACCACAAGATTAGATTTTAGGGAAATCCCCAACCCTTAGGCCCTGGGTATAGCTCTATTATCGGTCAAGAATTCTGGAGCCCGCCTCCCGTCTATGATACCAGTATGCAAAGAAGTCTCCGGCCACCACAAAGGGTGCAGGGGCGATATCACACTTTTCCCTAGGGTCAAGGATGACCATAACGCTGCGCCGGCCGCAGGGGAGTGTAGCTCTTTTCCCCAAACCAAGACATTAAGCTGCCATGCAAAAGCAGCATCCTTTCGACAGTATCATATACACGTCAACCCAACCATTTCCCCCCCCCGCATGATACAAACAGGGCGATAGAGAGCTTCAATATTGACAGCACCGACAGGGAAAGCCGCACCCCAGACACACCACGTAGAGTCATCATGTGCAGCGTCCACCCACTCCTGCAGCGCGAACAGCCCCGCCGCTCTAACAGCACACCGCCGATCCATGCCCGCCTTGTCTACAGCTCGCGTTGGAATTTTCAGTACACAGCGTTGCCCAATGTTAAGTGATTCTATGAGCTTATTTTGGGCATTCTCGGTTTGGAGAAAATGGGGTTCGAGCAGAATTTACTCATTCACTTGAGTATGTATGTGGTGACTACATTCCCAATTATATAATCTCTTTGTAATTTCCACCAAAAAGGCAGGTTTTGGACACGCTTTTAGTCTTGCGGCAGTGAGATACAGCCAATAGCATTTCATCATGCTGCCCAATAGCTGCATCTCTAAAGTGAGAACTGATACACAGAATATCACTCGATATTTTTGACTGGGCAATTCCTTCCCACCAGGGGAATAGCTATGGCGGGAGAGGATAGGTTTGGTGTATACAGTGATTTTAGGTTTCCGGGCTGGCATAGTTCTAGAGAATGTAGTACCTCTACCCCGCCATTCGCTCGGGGAAAATGTGATACCGAGGAGGCTTTCCTAGGGTTCGCAGGGACAGCATGTTATACCCGCTTCCTTCCTTCCTATTGTGCAATGGGCGTGGGTGGAGGGCCAGTGAGTGATAAGAAATATTCTCAGCGGCTATACTAGAAGGTCTATCTCACGATATCAAGCAATCGGTACAAACTAGAAACGGATGATACTCCAAGATAATAACTATCCTTATGTCATACCAGCCGGGTGAATTTTCCAGCATCCTTCTGTTATACGACACCTCCCTTATCCCGCAACCCGGGAGCCAAATCGATGGCACCGTGATCCCCAATTTTAGAGACACCCGTAGCAGGGTTCTGCAGGTAGGGGAATCATTCCGCTTCCTTGGGAAATGTGCATGGGACACATCTTGGAGGATATCGAGCCTTTTTCGTGTTATTATTTATAATGTGTATTTACTCCTCCTCCCTCCCTCCTTTATTTTTTCTTGCCTCATCACTTCTTGGGTACTCTAGAGGAGGAATTCCGGACGAAGTGAGTTTGCGTCTTCTATTGAAAACTACCATAGTACGATGCAGCACAATTCTAGCACCGTGAAGCATCGCATCGACCCACTGTTGGATTGTACGGGTATCATAATATATCAAAAAAAAAACCCCCCGGTATGGTAGTAGCAGTCAGCGCCACGAGCATTACCCGTGGAAACCAGACCCTCACCGGCCTCAGTCACGGCCAAGTCACCGAATGCTATCATAACAAAATTCCAGCTTTTTTTTCTCACTTTAGACGTGGGTGTAATGCGATAGCACCAACACCCCTGCATTGCGAAAAGTGGACGGTTTATGGGGGCGGTGGTGAAGTTCCACTTATGCTATCATATATAATATAGTATTAGTAACTTCCCTAACCCTGAGCGAGTGAGAGAACAGGATGGTGACGATTCTCGCTCCGCTCGCTGTATGATATAAGAATCAGTTCCGGCGCAGTATGATACGATACGTAGAGCTCATAAAAAAAATATCATAAAGAGGATAGTCCCTCTCCCCCCCCATTGATTTTCACTTTTTTCACAGCAGCTAGCACGTCAATAGCCACAGCAGCACTCAGGACAGAATATTAACCGCCAAAACACAACGGCGACACCATGGGGGAAAGAAATCCCCTCCAAAACACTGAAGGACAAATAGAATAAATGGGTGAGCTGAATTTCACCATCCAGCGCTGTACCCACAAACCGGCAAAAGAAAAAAGTGAGAATGAATGAATGAAAATTCAATCAGAGTGACAACCCATGACGAGCGATCCCCACACGCCGTATGGTACTAGTACAAGCACAGTAACAACCTCCTCCCCTCCTTCCTTCCCCCACAAGCAGAACAAAACCGGGAAAAAGGAAACCCTTTTTTTTTCCCGGTAACAAACGTCGTGCATACCCCCTTGCATACAGTACCATACTCGTACAGTACTCGTACAGTACCGGTACCGTACAGCACTCAAATAGCCTGCAGTTACTACTGTAGCAGTCTACGGTACTCAAGTACGATTACAACGGCAAAGTCGGATCGGATCCTTCCTGCGAGATCTTAGCCTGAAATAATCTATCCATTCCGGCGGCACAAGTACCGGTAGTCCCCCCCCCAAGTTTATTCACAATTTACAGTACAATACAAGTACCAAGACCCAGATTTCTGTCCCCCGAATCTTTTTTTCTCTTTGGGTTACGTTACTCCTTAGACTAAAGGACGTAATGGCAACAGCAACAGTAACAGCAACAGCGACATATCTGATATACAGCAACCCTTCAATCGTCCGGATACGGTAGGATGCCGGTAGCGAAATTGGTTGTGATACTGTATCATGGGAAAACTGGTGATGGCTTGACTTGACCTGACTTGTTACCGTGCCTGTCCGCCCTGTACTGTATTGTAGCCGAGCAACACCCCTTAATATAGCATTACCGGTACGGTACTGGCGCGATCCACCCAAGCAAAAAATCATTTTACGTAAAAACTTCCCGAGCCGGCGGGCGTAAGGTCATCACGCGAGCGCATCGTGTCCCAACGTCGTCGCTCGGACAGGTGGTGGTTTGCCCGCCATGATAATTATGAGGGGCTTTCCTTTTCTTCTTCTAGGCCATGCGCGATGCTTTATGCTAAGGATGAACCAGCTGCCAGCCCCACGCGAGTGAGATTGTGTGATGGAGACCCGGTCAAGTGCTGAAGAGGGAGGTGAAGAGGAAGAAGGTTTGCCACTTTGAGCTCTTTTCTTCCCTCCCCCCCCCCTTTTCCTTCCCTCTCCTTTTGCTTCGTTTGCT